GGGGGGGGTTTGGGGGCTTGCCTCCCCAGCTCTTCTTTCACTGTCCACCCATGATAGACATCATTTTAGCCAAGAGGGTTGGTGAGCATGTTGTGCTGATGATGGATCTTCCTTAAACTATACTCCATAGGGACAGTTCCATTATGTTTGTATCTTAAATGCACCTCCCCGGTAGTTTCAGCTTTCCACCTGAACCAATCAGTTAATTTACACAGTCTTTCAGAAACCTCATACATCCACAGACAAAACCATGATAGACATCATTTTAGCCAAGAGGGTTGGTGAGCATGTTGTGCTGATGATGGATCTTCCTTAAACTATACTCCATAGGGACAGTTCCATTATGTTTGTATCTTAAATGCACCTCCCCGGTAGTTTCAGCTTTCCACCTGAACCAATCAGTTAATTTACACAGTCTTTCAGAAACCTCATACATCCACAGACAAAAGCAGGGAATGGGGACTGCTGTAGTCTCTGCTTGCGACATTTCCCCGCCATGTGTAGAGGGAGCAGCCTGCAGTGTCAAGCAGTCTGGGGCTGCAGCAGGCATGGAGCTCAGCCTGCCTGGGAGTGCTCGCAGGGCTGCTGGCCTGGAGATGCTTAGGTAAGTGCCTCCCAGCCAGAGCCTGCTTCTGGCACCTCAACCCCCTCCTCCAGATTACTATCCAAACTTTCTGCACCCCCTGCCCAAGGTTACACCTCTCTCCCAGATCCTGTACCCCCTCTTACCGCCTTCTCCTAGGCCAGAATCCTTTCCTGCACCCATACTCCCTCCTTGACTCTGCACCCAGTCCCCTGACCCAGGTCACAACCCCCTCCTTCACCCAAACTCTCTTGGACCTCACACCGTCTCCTTTACCCAGTCCCTTACCCCGTGTGCTCTTTTGCACCCACCCTCCATCCTAGACTCTGCACCCCCTCCCCTCACAGAAATGTGTGTCCGTTGACCACTTTACAAAATCGTGGAATGCCCCCCCCCAAAAACATTCCCCACCCCTATCTCTCCTTGTCTCCCCTACCCTACCACATCATTTTAAGGGCTACAAACCACCCTTATAGTGTCTTGCAGAAGGAAAGCTAACCAAACCCTTTATCTGTGTGTTTGGTTAATTATTTTATTACAAGAGTTCCAGCAGCTTCCTTTATACACTAATAGATTGTACACTAGATTCACTTAAAGCAGTGCTGGGTTTCTCAGATTCGTCCCACAATATGACGACTCTAGTGTAGCGAACACATCTTAGTGAATTTAGAATGGCTTTAATAAGTGTCTCAGTGAGCAAAGCGTCAAACATTTTGAGGGTTCTGCTAATCAGCATAGACGTCCTATGGCTCCCCAAACAATTACCTCTCCCTCAGTAGTATCCTCTCTAGTACTGTAGATGGGTTCTTTATGGAATGTCCAGAAGCCAAGAACCAGTAAAGTTGCTACTGGTGCAGCCAGATCTCTCTCTAACTGCCCCTGTAACCCCACCCTGCCTCAAACTCTCTAAAAGGAAGGTTGGTCCAGAAGGCAGAAAATCTTCCTTTCTTGTGCCAGGACATTGGGTCATCAGGACTGTCTATAAATACCTGAGACAGTCTCAGAAAAGCAGGACCCTTGGGAACTTGGGGCACATCTAAACTACATTCCTCTTTCAAAAGAGGAATGTAAATGAAACCAATTAAAAGTGCATAAGAAGCACAGATTTAAATATCCCGCGCTTCATTTGCATAATTGTGTCCAAGCGCTTTTCAGAAGAGGGTTTTTCGAAAGTGAAAGCGCAGTCTAGACAGGGTTCTTTTGGGGAAAAAACCCACCTTTTTCGAAAGAACCCGTGCTCATTTTTTTTCAGGAGCATGGGTTCTTTTGAAAAACATTTTTTTCCCCCCCAAAGAATTCTGTCTAGACTGCACTTGCATTCTTGAAAAACTTTTTCAAAAAAGCGCTCGGACACGATTATGCAAATGAAGCATAGGATATTTAAATCCACGCTTCATTTGCACTTTTGATTTGTTTCATTTACATTACGCTTTTAAAAGAGGAATGTAGTCTAGACATAGCCTAAGAATAAGAGGAACATGCCCTCATTTAGGAACTCTGCTCATTTATGAAACTAGCATGTGCTGGTTAATAAGCTAACCACAAGCCAAACCAAGTTGGAAAGGACATGGTTTAAAATATTTGCCTAACAAGAGTGTTCTCATTGATCTTTTTACTTTTGAAATTTCTTCTGTAGATGCATTTTATATCACAAAATACTACTCAGACCACATCCTTCTACTCAGACCACATCCTTCTGTAAGCGTTTCATTTACATGGAGCCAGGGATAAACAGTGTTGGTGTTCTGCAAAGCAAAAGATTTCCACTTAATATGTAATGAAGTTCTTTGGTCTTAAGTAGCACAAAAGTAAATGTGACTATGAAAAATGTTAATTGAGTGGGAGATATGCACTCTTGACATTCACAATTCTCATGCACATGTAAACCATGATGTAACTTTTTAAGTTTAAGATATAAATGGCCAACGTTGTAAATTTTCAGTGAAGAAAATATCAGGGCTAGCAGTCTCCCTGTTTTGAAAAAGAAGCAAGTTATGGGTGATTAGAAATTAATTGGTCTTGAGATCACTTGAGATCACTTTTAACTGGAATTAAAGCTACATATTTTATTATTTCATAGACTGTTCTGAAAAACTTAGACAAAGTTGGTGAACAAAAAAGTTCATTAAAATCCAAACATGTTTAGGTCAAACATAACACTTCATTTGGCCAAAACAAAATCCTTTCTTTTGATTTTTTGAGATTTTTTTTAAAGACTTTTTAAATACAATTGAAGGAAACTCTGAAATTGTCATTTTGAATTAAAATGTCATTTTTAAAACATCTAAATAAATGTCTGGTTTTTCCAGATTTTTTCAACTAAGACAGCTTGGTAA